ACCTTGGCATTTCAAGAAAGCTTCATTGGCAATTCTTATCAAAATGTAGATGGATGACAACATTTAAAAAATTTGTTTAGTCAGAGTGTCTACTTTTGGCCATTTTAAGCATAATGGGCTTCTTTTTAAAATTGGGGATTTGGAGAATAAGGGTCCCACTTGTAAAAGGAAATCATTGTTCTGCATGCTAGCATTTTAGGTATACAGCCTGAGTATAAAGGGCATTTCATGCAGGAAAAATATTTTTAGGTAAAGGAGGCAGACCAGTTCCACTTGGCACATCCTTCTTGGTGAGCTGCCCTAAACTTTTACTACCTTTTTGAAATTTTAGGTTGCAGGTCTTTTCAAATTTATGTCCAGACTTTTTTTTTTGTTTTTTTATGGGCCATATTTGTGACTGTTACATTTCTGATTTTTAGAATTTGGGGCAGGGCATAGCATTTTGGCTTACTGGCAATAGCAGTGGTAGTTGGAATTAGGACACAATACTTAATGACAGGAAATGTTATGGCTGCTTAAAAGTGAGACTAAAGGAGGAAACAACCCATGTAATTATAAAAGGTAGGGTTATTTTAATTATAGTTTTTTTTTCAGTTAGTACAAGTAAGTGTAACCTGTATCATACGGAATTTTGTTTTATATGGAATACTATTATATATAAACAGTGAAATTTCATCTCTAACCTAGGAAGTATGTATGAAATAGTAGCTGTGATTGGTGACTAGTATACTATTAGGTAATATTAAAATGGACTATTTCAGTGATTGATTCTAAATGTTAATAGAATCAAAGCATTTACATTAGACAACTGACAGGATTTTCCTCAACTAGAGGGGTTAAGTTTTAGAAGTCCTCAAAAAGTACGTTTTTTATATGAATTGCTTCAGATGTTTATTTTCTCCTCAAAACTGCTTTTCACTTTTTTTCAGGGTTTTAAGGATACATCAAGAATCAGCTTTTCTAAAAAAACTGTTTTGCATAAATGAAAAATATGTACGGTTTATAGAATTACCAAAAAGTTAAATACCCATGTAATCACTACCTAGGACAAGAACTAGAACTTGGCTAATCATTCTAAAAACCTTCTTTGTACCGTCCCAGTTATTGTCTTTCCCGGCAAAGTTGACCCCTATACTGTATGGTAATCTTTCACTTGTTTTTCTTAATGGTTTAACAACCAGGGCTTTGCAAAGGATAAGTTTTCAGTCAGTCAAGCAGGAGATTACAGATATAATGCAGTGGTTTTTAACTCTATTGGACAGGATACCCCATTTTTAAATTTTGTATTCTTTAAGGCCCACTTTATCATATCAAAATAAAATTCATATATAACATTGCCTACCAGCATACAAATTTAAAATTTTAATATAATGTCCTAGTTATAAAGGAGAAGAAAAGAAATTTATAATGAAATAAGCATTTCAGTGTAAATATTTGGGCATGACTGTGACAAGAGGGAATGACGTAGCCAGATATTTGTAACCTTCCTAATAACAAGTAAGTTTGGATTTAGGAGAACACAACAGTTACCCGAATAGGGCTGACTGGTTTTCTTTAACATTTTGAAATAAGAGCAAAAGAAGAAAATTTATGCATATGGGTAGAATTGTGTGTGTCACCTACAAATGTCTGCTGATACAGGTGTGTTGGGTGATTCAAGTATCATGAGTGGCATTGCTGTTGGTGGAATAATTGTCTGTAATGGTAGACTTAACCTTTTCAAGTTTTGGAGGAAAGAAAACAGGTTTTTCCTTTTTACACACTAGATATATTTCTGGAAAAGAGATTTTCATCAGTATGAATTTCTGGGAGGGGTATCTGAAAATTCCATAGGATAAGGGCATGATACTTCTTTGTATGGGACTGCCCAGGCATTGCAGAATGTCTAACATCTTGTTCATC